CTATCCGTAAGACATTAAAAATTACATAGTAAAATTGTTGAGAAAACTCAATCTTAACACTTGAACCGCCGTGCACAAGACGGTGTCACGTGCGGCTGTTGGATCGCTATTAATCAAGATTTGGCACAGACAGATTGATACGCGGTGAGATCGTAATAACATTTAGGTGACCATTATTTATGACCCATTTGAATTGCTTCGGATTAGGATTGGCAATGATGGAATTGTTGATAATTTATTATCTCCAATGAGAGAAGATAGCGTTCCATTTATTAACAAAATTACTATTCTTGCTTCGAATTTGTACACATATCTTTTCTGGTATTTGGTGTTTTTATATGAAGAAACAAAAGAGCAACGAATCGCGTAAAAGCAAGTGAGTATTTCCCCTGTTAATACACTTCTAACTGATTTTAAAAAAAATAGAGTTTTTGACAATAAAGGTGGTTAGGCCACAAAAATTTAAACACTGATTAAATTACGATTTAGCTTTAAATATACGTCAACTCTTTTAGCGCTAATAATAGACATAAGAAATCATAATTATTGAAATATAATTATGCGTAGGCTCTTAAAAAGCGATATAGTTTAAGGGTAAAACAAACTTTTATAACTACGTCGTCGTCCGTATCAATCAACGGCGGTCGAAAGGTTAAAACACGTGTCAGACTGTATTCTTTGGAGTAATACAGTAATGCTTCATTAGTAACATATCTTGCTTCTTACTGTTAGGAAGGAAATCCGAAAATGTGCCAGTTTATTGACGCAACACTAGTCTTACTGAAACGTCGACGTTTATGTTCCCTCACTTTTCATTCTGACACTGGACTTTGTAACGAAAGCACGTCATTCGCGCCAAATGATTCTAACTAATACTGTTTAAAATTACTAATATTATAAATGCTAATTTTTAATAACGGATTTCCCTGAAATTTGGCATAGATGAAGATAGTCTGAAAGAACAGATAGGTTACTTATTAAGTTTTTTTGTAGTTCAGACGGAGTCGTCGGCAACAGCTAGTATTTAATATTTTCCTATCATTCAAATGATAGTATTCTGTCGACGTTTAGTATACAGTTTTATAAAAATTCCCATTTACAAACACTAAAGTAAAACTCATTAAAATAATTAAGAAAAGAGTTTAAAATCTTAAATGTATTCAACCTTTTCAATGTACAGAATAAAAATATTCCACTGTTGAATATGATGGTTGAGAAAAAATGTATAGAATAAACGGAGAGATCTTGTTACGTTGCCTCATTACGCCCCGGCCGTGGAAATGGCCGCTGTAATGAACTATCTGTATTTTTATTGAAGAGTAAAACACGAGACTGCCTTTTGCTTCTATTTTATGAACATACATAAAAATAAAAAAATATACTACTAGATTATTCTATGACCAATATAATTGGTGATAAAATAAAACTCTATAACAAGCACCCTCATAGATGTTAGGATACCAAATTGACGTCAAAACCGGACCCGAAAATATTATATTGATAGTTTTTTTGGATCTTATCTTACTAATGTATTCATCATCAGCTCAATATACATCCCCACCGAGGGGCTTGGAGCCTATCTTAAGTGAAGGGTGATTAAGGCCATAGTCAACCACGCTGGCCAAGTGCGGGTTGGTTGACTTCACACATATCTTTGAATTACTTCTCAGATATGTGCAGGTTGCATCACGATGTTTTCTTTCACCGTAAGAACGTCGGATAAATGTACATATGTAAATCGGAAATCGAAAAACACATTGGTACATGGCGGGATTCGAACCCAGGACCTGCAGATTGCAAGTCAAGTGCTTGACCACTGAGCCACCGATGCTACTAATGTAATATAGGTGGATATTTCTTAGAAGTTATGTGTAGAAATGCTCAATGGATTTCGATGAAATTTGGCATAGATGTAGCACACATTCTGGGAGAACACATAGACTAACAATTAAGATTTTTTTAATAAGGCGCGGTCGTAATCGCGAGCGAAAGGTAGTGTTTTAAAATGAATCTCTACGTCTTTTTAAAAAGATTAAATAATATGTATATTTAAATTAAGTAGAAAGGAAGGAAACGAGATATGATATGGTACATATATGAGCGTCGGTAGCTCAGGGGTCAAGGACTTGACTTGCAATCCGCAGGTCCTGATTTTGAATCCCGCTATGTACCAATGTGTTTTTCGATTTCCGATTTGTATATGTACATTTATCCGACGTTCTTGCGGTGAAGGACAACATCGTGACGCAACCTGCACATATCTGAGAAGAAATTCAAAGATATGTGTGAAGTCAACCAACCCGCACTAGGCCATCGTGGTTGACTATGGCCTAATCGCTCTTAACTTAGGGTAAGTAACTCTGAGCCCCTCGTTAGGGACGTATAGTGAGCTGGTGATGATGATAAAATATATGATTCAGTTATCAGCATTTAGTATAAATAATAAGTTACACTTCTTCTTCTTCTTCTTTCTCAGCCGTAAGTCGCCCACTGCTGGGCATAGGACTCCCCCAAAGATACAGTTACGTTTGATAAGTTACACTTCTATTTCGTACAATTACTACAAAAATATGTTTCCTCCTTTTTCAAAAAGTCTGTTTTAATGTATTTGAAGTGAATACAAAAAAAATAGACAATAGTTTAGCCATTAATCGTAAATCAGCGAAACGAAAGTAAGTCGTGCACCATTTGCCCAAATTTCGAAATTGGCAGCAAACTTGGTGCTCGCTCGAGCTAACGAACCTCTTTGTTACACCTGCCGTGTTCGACTTTTTTCCTTACCGGCTATTATTTTAGGCTTCGCTGACCATTCGTTTTCGTTTCTAAAATAGTTTGAAAAACTGTATCAAACTTTCTGTTATGTCCCTAGCAAAGTTTATTTTAAAAAAATATATGATTTCGACCAGCGATTTTTGACAGCGCAGTGTTTAATTTTAACTTTTTAAAACATATTTAACCCTTGATAGGTTATCAATATTTTATCGAATTGACTGTAAAATTTGAAAGGATTTTTGTAAAAAATATAACAGAGAGTGATAACTAATTATTTACCTATCAAATAATTTAAGAAACTATTTTAGAATTTACGTAACCTAATTTGCGGACTTTTGGAAGGCATTTATTATAACATATCTGTGATGTTTTTAACAGCCAGGGTATTTTTTAACTTTCATAGTAATTAGTATTAGGTGCGCAACTAAGTTCTCCTGTTTATCAGTAGATGGCTCTAGCAGTAAGAGCTGGTCGATTTTGACATATCAAAACGTCTTGAACCAAGCTTAGACATATGGTAAACAAACCGTTGCAACACATGAGTGATTAAAGAACTCAGAAACTCTTTGTTAGTCAAGGCTCGTCAAATTCACGTTTTACCAATATATTGAAAGAAGGTTTCTGATAGGAATGTATGCGCATACATAACATACAACCGTGTTGAATTTATAATATTGTTTATCTTGCTTTGATTCTAAATCAAAACTAGACTGCAAAGTCGTCAACTCATTTAAATCATCAAGGTGGACTTGACCCATATTGACTTGATATATTAGTCTGCTAAGCCTTAGTCAACTACGCTGACCCAGTGCAGATAGATTGCTTGCTGCTGCTTATGAATATGATGCTTATTTCTTTGTTTGATATATTATACAAAAATCGAACAAATTGGTACATGGCAGATACCTGTGGGTTGCTAGTCAAGTGCTTTAACGCTGCGTCTCCGACGTTTGAAAAGAAATAGTTTAATGATTTTTGATTTGATATAAAGCGATCAATTATATGTAAGTGCTCATTAATATGGCGAAACAAATTTTAAATTGTCGACATTTAGTTGGTTGTCAGTTCTATCAAAATAATACACTAAATGTAAATTTAATTCCTTAATGTTTAACCATCGGATCGTATCAAGTATCCCAAATTAGTTTAACGCTTTTATCCTTTAAGAAAATTCTCGCATTTCACAAATTCCGAAATCAACTTCGTAGAAAGTCGAATTCCAATTAGGTCTAATGAAAATTCTTTGATACCCTTCAAGGATTATCCACAAAATCTAACGTCGATTCTAAGACTTCTTAATCTTACTAATATTAATGCGAAAGTTTAGATGGATGAATGGATGTTTGTTAGAAGGTATCTCCGGAACGGAAGAGATCTCGATGAAAGGCATATAGGCTACTTATTTAGTTCTTTATTTAATTTCATGCGGAGTCGCTACAGCTAGTATAAATCTAGCACTCATAAATGATGATGATCTGCTGAATGAAAATTCAAATAAGTATTGTGAATAACACTTAATATGCTTTTATGCAAATACATGATATTCAAGTTTATAGCAAAGTCTAGACAAAATTATATTAACGATGAAGAATTCGTATTATTTGTCTTTGAAATATGTCACTATCCGACATATTTACATTGAAACTGGCTGTCGCCGCGACTCCGTCTGCGCGGGATTAAATAAATACATAGTAGCCGATTCTGAGACTTACTGAATATACTTATAAAATTTCATAAAAAGTATGGTAACTTTTTTTTTATATCATAAGATGGCAAACGAGCGAGCGGCCACCTGAAATCGCTGAAATAGCGATGTGACCGTTGCCCATAGATATACGCAATTGCATATGCGTTGCCTACCTTTAATCGACGGAGGAGAGGATGCACAGAAAGAAAAAATATTTTCCCTTTCCATGCATCCTCTCATCCGGAAAGTCCACTTCCAAACCATCTTTTGCTTATAAGAAAAAGGGTGGGAAGGGAAAAAGGACTAAATTAAGCCTTCGGAACGCACACTCATCAGACGAAACGCGGAATTGCTTCCACTTGACGTCTGTCTTCTATCTGGTTGTTGTATTTCACCGGGCGAGCCGGGCTAATTCGTGCGATGACGTTAAAGCGGGCTCTACCACGGTTAAACTAACATTGTGACACTAGAATTTCATGTATAAAATAGAAACACTAATATTTTGCTTAAATATTTAATAATTCCGTCAATTTCAATAACATTTATAAATTATATACCAAATTTTTGCATTTTACCTTTATTTTATACTTTTTAATAATCTTTGTTATTCATTTTTACATGTTCCATAAAAATTCCCATTCTTGAATGAATTTTCAATCCATGATCAGTCCATTCCTTTTCAGTTTTATCAAACCATAGATACTTTCCTTTTAATGACTGATCGGCGTCTAAAACAAAATATACGGGAGCGATTCCTGCATCATCTAAATCCAAGAGACCACTATTCTTTGTCATATTCGTCTTAATAAAACCAGGATGCAAAGAATTAATAGAAATTCCACGACCGATTTGTTTCTGTTGCACTCTTGTTAAAGCGCTGAGTGCTATTTTTGATATCCTATACGCAAGTATACCAGTTTCTACAAAATCGTCTTCTTTCAGTGTTCCATTTTTAACGGAATCCAAAAACCAATTGACAAAATCATTAACATCTTCTAATTTCAAATCATCACTTGTTAAACGTATAATCCAATATGGATTTTCTAAATTAGATATATGTCCAGCATCACTTGAAATATTCAACACTCTAGCGTTATCTTTTAGTATTGGAAAAATATATTCTTGTATTGTTAGTACACTGAAATAATTCGCATTAAGTACATTTAACGAGTCTTCGTATGTCGTCTTCTCAAAATCAGCAGTAATTATGGCAGCATTATTAATAAGTATATCGATGCCACCATGTTTTTCTTTTAAATGTTCTGCAAATCGTTTTACACTTTCTTTATCTGTTACATCGAGTTGATGAAATATTGGATTTAGTCCTTCTTTTTTCAAAGTTTCAACAGCGTCTAATCCTCTTTTTTCATCTCTTGCAGTTAAATAAACAATTCCAACTCCACGTCGACACAAATCTCTGACAATTATATAACCAATACCTTTATTGGAACCGGTAACAACAGCAACTTTATCGATCATGTTCACTCTCGTTTGCACACGAACTGGCGTTTACTTATCAAACAGACGTATATATTATTATAAATGCTGATAAAAACGAACGAATGTACATATATCTGATAACAAAAGCATTTTATGAAAGTAAACAATGAGATAATGTTATTCGATAACTTTAAATGCAATAATTTCGAGTTGAATTCATTATATTTACATATCGCTGGTTGATTCAGGTGTTCCTAAACATATGTTTTGAACTAAAGATATATATTTTTTTAATATTAGCAGATTTTTTGTAAATTTATTATTTCTTTTTATCATTCCAACTAAGCTCTAGGCTTGTGCTAGGATATGGTTTACGACAATAGTCGAATGGCGGGATTCGAACCCCCTACCTTGTGATTGGAAATCCGCACCCATAACCAGACGCTTTTTTGACGATTAGAATGTAACTTTTAATTTTATTTTCTCTTAAGACTTTTTAATTTTTTTTTTCACTAGCATTCGCCCGCAATTTCATTCGCGTATAATTAAAATATTTTTTTTAGTTAGCGTAAGTGTTCTTCCAGACAATGTTCTACATCAGTATCTTCCATCCAGATCTATGCAGATGTTCTGAGTATACCTTCTAACAGACATCCATCTAATCTTATATTTTAAACCCATGTGATGTGTCAGGGAAGGAAATTTATAACACTCGTATATCTTCTTAAACACGTGAGGTGTTTGTCATAAAAACTAGGTAAGATGTAACGCGGACATAAGTGCGGGAATGGAGCACCACCGTTTAAGGACAGTCGTACACAAATATAAGAAAGCTAAGCGAACATCGAACATAGATCTATGTTTGCATAGCAACAGAATAGTTCGCATGAATGAAAGAAGCCCAAGGTTCAATTCAAACAGTGCATGACGACTTTATCATAGAATTTATAGACAAACGAACTTGCTACAAACCACGATTGTAGTTTGTTTCTTGTATGTACGAGGCAGCAACCACCGCCTATTACAAATCGGGACGCTAGTGTTTTGTTTCGCTTTTGTTTCTCTTCGCCTTTGTGTGCTACTGGGCTTATCTCAAGCATCGCAGCTGTCGCTAGCAAACGACCGAGACGCGTTAAATCTTCACGCAATATTTATATGAATTGTTATGATGCTTTTATCAGGATTGACTAGGCAAGAATATAATACTAAAGGCAAATAACTACATTTAGTCTGTTATCAAAAAAGGAACTGCAATTTAATGCGATTTTTAAACGTGATAATTTACTTTAGTGCCCGCTATTTTTTTTATCTAAACGTTTTTGTGATAATTTAAATCTTTATTAAACGTTTTTTAATATTCTTAATTTTTCGTTTTTACGATGACATAACAATTTAGCGATTTTAAGTCAATTGTTTTTGTTGGAATATATTTTGCACTAGCTGTAGCCCGCGACTCCTTCCGCGCGTAGAACATAATTAGTAGTATCTGTGTTCTTCCAGACTATACTCTACATGTATGCCAAATTTTATCGTGATCCGTTCTTGAGATAACTTCAAACAAATATCCGTTCATCTAAGCCAGTCTTTCCCAAAGTGGACGATAACGCCCCCTTGTGGGCGCTGCAGGTCTCAAGTTGCGGGTTATAGTAAAAGTTTCGTTTAGAATTCTTCGCTAATATACATATATAGGTCACAATAATTAATAAATTTAATTTGAAGTTATAGTGGTTTTTAAATATGTGAAAATATGGGGGCGCTAAAAAAATATTTATTCTCAAAGTGGGCAGTAGACAAAATATGTTTGGGAACCACTGGTTTAAGCATTCGCATTTGTATTGTTGAGTAAGATATATCGTTCTTGTGCTAACAATTGTTTTTTGGTTAGGATATATTCTGCATATAAAAACAATTATATTTTGCAGCCATTCCCGAACGTTGAAGATGTTCTGTTGCTTATTAAATTACTAAACTTCTAATATATAAGTGTACCATAAAGTTATGAGAACGTTATTATTTTCTGAAGTAAGTACGCTAAGGGGGCAATACATTTATTCCTAAGCCCTACTTGACCTAGCCGATGTAGCGGCGTGCGAAACCTATTATCGTATTTAATCCTCTTATAACAAAGTCGCTTGCCTCCTATCTTACATCGTCAACTTTTTCTTTGAAACAAGGCTTTAACTTTTTTTGTAAAACGTTCTAATTTTTGTTAGAGTATTTTTTGGAAATATATTTTTACCATAGTGTAAATTGTTTCATTGTTTTTTTTTTATATAATTCATTGTAAAACTGTCATCGTACTTTCTTTAAGAGTTACACCATTTGAAATTTTTTTTTTAGAAAATTCACAAGACATAAATGAAAATAAATCCGTATAAATTTTATTGCCACATTAATAAATAGGAAATATATAGATTTCCGTTTTTTTATATAATGTTACTGAAAGTACATATCGTACATAATAAGGAAGTTAAGAAGTTAAGAAGATTTTGGTTCTGATGAAATGTAACGTAATTTTTGTTTCATATTTTTTTCTGAAAATGTTTTTCAAGATGGCCGGTTATGTCGAATGGAAATCAAACAAGTTACGGTAAGAGGATTAGAACGTTAATAAGATTGTTACACTGGCACGCTTCTTTCGTTAATTAGACGTAGTAAGGTTTTTTTTTAGTAACTTTGGTCATATATTACGACACATTTTAATAAAGGAACTTCTAATTATCTTAGAACTAAAACAGCTGGGTTAGACAAAGAGCATTCGCTACGAAGTTATTCCATAACGAACTTCAAAAATATATAGAACAGATATTGACTTTCGATAAGTCACGTGATTGTTGCGCGTCAGTTCCATACAATTTTGAAGTTCGCTATAGTATCGCTTCGAAGCGAATACACTTGCCTATACAAGGTCGAGAGAAAAATACAAAGATAAAAACTTATCTTTTATTTATTTTAATTTTTTTTTAAATAATAAATGTCGTAGTTAAAGGCAGTACTAGATATAAAACTTGGTTATAAAAACTTAAATTGGCAGAACCGTGTAATTGCATACTGTTTATTTCCTAGTTACTAGAATAATAGCTTTGCGTTAACATTACTTGCACCTGGGCGGTTGCTCTTCCTCTGACGTCATAAAACTTTATCGTTTTTACGTGTTTGCGAGGTAAGTTATTGGTACTGAGTATTATACATTATGCGGTAAGACGCGAGTTTCTTTTGCGTGTGCGCATTAAAAAAAGTATAGAAAAAGCAAAAATAAAAAAAAATAAGAAAAAAATAAGTCGACATCTTAACACAACATTTGTAAACAAAAAAAAATATGGAAACAAAAAAAAAATCTAAAACAAAATGCACTAAAAAGTAACAAATTAATGTCATGAACAAACACCCCCGAAAGTAATAAATTTCTTTTCTTTCTTGAAATGTGTCTATACTTTATAATTATTGTTATTTCAGAGTCGGTCGGTTGGTGTCGGCCCGATGTCTTAGACCTATTTACGTTTAAGGAAGTCCGTAAACCGAAACCGACTTAAAAATAACCATAATTGTAAAGTAAAGACACATTTCAAGAAAGAAATTTATTGTTGTTTTATTGGGTGTTCATGATATTATTTTGTTACTTTTTAGTGCTTTTTGTTTAAGAATGTTTTTTTTGTTTCAATATGTTTTTTTTTGCGAATGAAAATAGTATAGAAAAAATATACTTTTGAAATTGGAAATTACAATATTTCACAATATTTATTGAGAACTAAATAAAAACAGTACAAAGGGTTAATAAAATATATAAAAATTAATAGTTTTCTATTGTTATAATGAATGTCCGTAATCAAATTCCGTGGCCGTGTGTGCACATGTGTCTTCTTAGTTAGCATTGCGACTCAAGATACGATTCGCAGAAATTCGGCATAGATGTAGAACATAGTGTGGAAGAACACATAGGCTATTAAATTTTGAATTCTGCGGGAACGGAGTCGCGGGCCACAGCTAGTTATTTAAATGTACGAAATGTAAAAGCTGTTAACCGTAATAGTGATCACGCCTTCCGAAAAAATTGATTCGAATCCACGTAACGAGTCCATTTAAATCGTAAGTCACGTTCCCTTTTATTGTGGGGCAAAAGTTACAATGGCTGGAGAATTGTAAATAGGCTCCCGGTGTTACGTCATTCTTGTAAATTGCAAAAACCTGCGCAATGCGTTCAATGTTTTTCAAATTAAAGGTACTATAAATTGTTATCTTATTTCTTACTAATATTGTTATATAAATGCGAATTAAATTAAAAACTTTCGTGACACTTTACAATTAAGTTGTATAAAAATGACTAAAACACTCACGTTTGTTCGTTCGGTGGCGGCACCGACTAGTTTCGAGCGCATCAGGGTGAGTGGGACTGTTATTTGTTGGAAGTTATCTCCAGAACGACTAAACGGATCCCCATGAAATTTTGCATACATATAGAATATGTCTGGAAGACACATAGGCTATTAATGATGTTTTTTTTTAATACCGCGCTGACGGAATCGCGGGCCACAGCTATTTTTAATATAATATGCGAATCGATTTTGTCTCCATATCATTGCTAATATCGTTTTTTTTTTTAGTCTTGAACCAACAATATTGACTATTGTCCTATTTGAGCACAATTCAAATATGCTAATTTTAGAAGAATAAAAATCACAAGTTTCACTCATTCTATTGAAAGCAATATTTTTAGAAATGTGTAATGAGACAGAAATAAATTACTCCGGGGCCAATCAGGTACTTCAAACGTTACGAAGTATAAAAGTTAATATTAAGTTTGAAATAAGTATTCGTAGAAAATATTTTCTTTGGGAAAAATAAATCACTTTGGGGAAAGCGTTACTTCGCGTCATTGGTAGAGGCGAGTTGGTACTTTCGGAGTTTGATTTTTCATTTCTTTGAGGTATAGATTTCAATATTGAACTTTCACTAACTTCCAGTTATGTTGACGTTCAGAAGTAATACTTTGTCACTTCTAGTATAATATTTTTTTTTATGAAAAATATTAGCAGATTTTTTTTGTAAATTTACTAATATTTCTTTCACCATTCCAACTAAGCTCT